ATAATTATGGAGAAGAAATAAAAGAACAGAATGAGAAAGAGTCACAATAAAGATGAAATTGGATATTACAGAGATGAAACGAGTTCAGCAGCGGGGGAAGCTGCATGTGTTCAGTTTAAATGTCTCACAGGGAAGCAATTAAATACCACAGCTTATTGTTGGTGGGAATTAAAGCCCTTCAGAAGATATTGTCTCCATACTATACATCTTCATGGTATAATTACTATAAGTAGGTCATGGTGAATGATATCCACTCTATTATTAGATATGCAAAGATGCATATGTGGAAGACTTGGAATTTGTTTCATAATAAACTGATTTCTGAAGCAAACATAATTAGTCTTTTTTTTCCCCCCTGGCACTAAAATCAGTAATTCATATTAAAAACAATTAACACTTTTAGACATGCACATTTGGAGATCTTTTTTCCTTCTCATCTAAAGATTCAGATGAGATTTAATATGTGATATAATTCCAGTCAACAGGTGAGACTTTCATATCCTGTGTCATGAAAACTGGTATGAGGAGGTGAGATCCGCAGAAATGTTGAGTGTTTTTTTTGTGTGTGGATGTGCGTGCATGTTTGTCTGCACTTGTACAAAACAGAGAAGTGCACAGATATACATAGATTAATTTACAAATATGAGGAAGACAAGTACATATTAGGAGGGTCAAATACAACAATTGTATCTCTTTTATTTATTTATTTTTCCATAAAAATGTGTGTTGGAAACACACATCTCAAAGCTTCTTGCTTGCTTTTCCAGTCTGCGACGGGAGTCCTTGGCCTGTGACAAGTCTCTTCAGTGAGAGGATGTTTCCCTTGGCTGTTCTATGAAAGCAGATGCACATGTACTTCCTTCCAGATGGTGGAAAGCCTGATTCAAAACGCTAGTACTGTGCAGGAAAGACTGCAAACTCAGCATTGTGGGCAACAGCTGTACACTCCAAAGCAATCCCAGGTAAAAAGCAGAAATGACAGTCATAAAATGCATTCATTTTATGACTCTATTTAGCATCTAAATATTTCTAGATGCTAAATATGTAAAATGAAGGTTGTGTAACTTTATCACCTGAACAGATTGCATTTTACACATTTTGTCATGCTGCAATCAACTGCAGAGATTAACAGGTTACCTGGAAGACATGTTAAAAAGGACAAATATTAGCAATGCATCCCACAAATCTGAACTGTCTGGATGAGTGGCAAGAAGGAAAACATTGTTTAAAGTTGCTGTTTGCTACAAACTTTGTAGCGGACTAAGCAAACATTTGGAAGAAGAACCAAAATCATCCTTTCTGGCTTACATGCAAAGCACCATGAGTGATGGAAAACTAGTCCTCCATATCACCCTGGATATGACGGGGTGCTTTGTCTTGAGCATGAACAGGAAAGTTGGTCGGAGATGATGCAGGGCAACCCTGGAAGACAATCTTTTTAAGCAAAAAACTGTCAAGAAAACTAAAGTGTACCGCCAGAACCACAAGTTCAAAGCATATTTGTGTGTCAAGATGGCCCAACCAAAAGTTTAGACTCAAATGTAATTGAGTGTTTGTGGTAAGACTTGATGTTCACAAAGGCTCTCAGTTCAATATTACTCAGTTGAACTATTGTCCAAGAAAGAACAGCCAAATGTTCCAGCGTCAAGATGTGTGACGCTTTGTAGAGTCTTGGAGAAAAAAGTGACTACAAAAAATAGACAAAGATGAACTGAATGCAAACATATTTTTAAAAGCCATAAATTTACTCACTCTTTTGTGCTGTTTTTTTTCTAAATGATTGTCTTTGTTTACGTTCTTTTCTGTTTTGAGGCAGTGGGTATTAATAGCACCTTGAACGTTGTTGTTATTGGTCTGCTTGTTCAGATTTATTCTTACTTGCCTTTGCAATGTGTTTCACTTTGCCTTACCATATATATGACTTATGAATTACTGACTCTTGTCTTGGCATCCTGGGGTTCATTGTTTTATATTCAGTTTACTTCCCAGCAAGCAAAAAGTAACTTGTTTTCATTTCTCAATTGTGCATTTTGCTTCATTTTTACCTGACGTTGTGTGAATGACTCAACATACCGAATGGGGAAAGACCTGCAGACTCAAACAAAAAAAATTTACTTCCATAAATCTTTTTAAAGGAACACAATGAAAACCAGCCAAACTCTATTCCAAGCAATGTGGTTGAAAGTATTTTTAAAGCATTGTACTGTTATGCTTTGAGGTTTGATAATTTAGAGTTTCAGCAATGCAGCTGAAACCATCTCGGCCAATGATTGCAGGATGATCAGATATAAACCAGTGAAGGAAAAAAAAGCTCACTCGAACATGTTCATCTTGTTCAAAACTCACCACAAAACCAAAATCACCGTGTGTGCAGATATCAGAGAAAGTGGAAGCCAGCACGCTCTCCGCCACTGTCAGATGAGGAAGAAAACAAGAAACAACACATGTATCCAAATCCGCAATTGACTGAGCAGAGCTGAGAAGTGCAGAGTGGAGCAGAGAGACTCTTCTGATCAAATCAGGGGTTCTTGGGCCTGGGAAAGGAAAGGAAAAAAATGAAAGGAAAGGAAAGGAAAAGAAAGGAAAGGAAAGGAAAGGAAAGGAAAGGAAAGGAAAGGAAAGGGAAAAAATGAAAGGAAAGGAAAGGAAAGGTAAGGAATGGACAGCCCCTTGGTGGATCCTCGGTGTGTGTGTTTGTAATGGAGAACAACATGTAAGCTCATTCACATGGCTCTGCGTCCATTCACACCCTTCATCACACAGAGGAGGAACGAGACAGTTGTCTCTGTGGATCTGTCTGGCTGCTTTCTAATCTGTCCATCATCTCACCTCGGTGTGTGCCGACGCCAAAGATATTCTCAGCAGATCTGTGAAAACAAAGTCCCACAGAATCTCAACCTTGTTTCATTCAAGCTTTTGTAAAAAAAAAAAAAAATCCTTCAAGTTATTATCTATGAGCTCCCAGTAAAGAGTTGTTATACACTGAGTGGCTTGGCGGAAAAATATTGTTAAAGCCTTAAAGTTGTGAAACAACTGCTAGAGATAGGAGAAGAAATCAGCATTTAAGGGAGTAAAACATGTCTTTTTAATCTGTTATAAATAGGCAAACAATCTGTGTCCCCAGAAAAAAAAAATATTTTTATTATTTCCCTCCTTCTTTTCTTACTGTGTTTTACATGTTTAAAAAAAGTCAGAGAAGTTATGTAAGTTATGCAAAATGCATACAATATGAACAACTTTGTATAATCTCTTGATAACCAGATAAAATAAGGTTAAAGTCCATGTGTGTAACCATTTCTACCTGACTGTGTGTTGTAGCTTGTCATCCTGTAAATCATGTTTTTTTTTTTTTCAAGTTTTTTCCTCTATCAGTCTTCCAACTCAGGTCGGCTTCCACATCTCTAGTCAGGAAAGCGTCACCACAGCCTGATGCTGTCACCAGAATATATCAACATAGGAATGAATAGTATATTCAGAGAGATGCATACTTATTTTTTCCACTTACAAGCATTTTGTTTGTGATGCACAGATCCTTAAAGAGAACAAAGAGAGAAGAACATAAATTTTTAGAAACCATTACCAGCCACGCCCCTCTCATCATCAGCAACAATGGGGTTGATGTGTGCAGATCTCTGATTACCTCATATGGTTGAACAAGAAAGAGGGTGTGAAATGGGCCCCACAGAGACCATGCTTTCCGAGGAAGTGAAACCAGTAGGCTCCCTACCAGTAGCCTCAGAACATTGGAGAGCTTTAGTTAGGAGGGAGTCAGTTTTGTGCATCTCAGTGCCATGCATCAGCTGCAGCAGGGCAGAGCATGTTGAAGGAAGCTGGAAGAGAAGTTGTCATTGAAGTGTAGAGACACTCATTGAAGTGTCTCTACATTTTACAGGATCTCCATCAGAGTTCCTGCAGGAGCAGGCTCTGAAACATAAGCAGAGATTCCTCACTCTCTCTATGAACTTTTGAACTGCTGCCATTATGCAAATGACATCACAACATCAAAAGCAGAACCAAGAGTCAGCTACACACCTTTCTGCCTCAAGATATTAAATGTTGAACCACTGCGAAGATTGTGCATTGTCTATGATTGCAATTCAATCTGTGTTTTTTTCTTTCTAATTTGTCTATCCATTCATTGATTGTCCATACCTGCTTATCTTCATTGGTGACTGTCTCCAGCAGTCATTGGATGAGAAGCAGGTTTATAACAGGGCAACACAGAGACATGCAGAACAAACAACTTCACATGCACACAATGGACAATTTGGAAACTCATTAAGCTAGTACTTAGTCATGTTATCTCAACAGCATGCTTAGGGAGAAAATGCAGAAAGACCTCAGGCCAGGATTCAAACATAGGGGCTCTTCACTACAAGGCAGCAGTGCTAACTATTGCTCTACTGTGCAGCTCTAGTTCACGTTTGGTAAATTAAATATAATTATTTACACCAATCTGTTGAGTTACATTTAGAAAATGAGTTCTCTGTTTGCTGGCTAACAGTTAAATTACAATGAATTGATATGGTCTCATCTCTAAGTAAATAAAAGTGCACAAGCACAAATTGCTAATAACATTGAATTATTATCTTTATTTTTAATTAAAAATGATGATGTGATCCAAAAGAAATGCTTAAAAACAATGACTGTGTTGATCAGTGAACTAACGCTAATGTCATATTCTGTAATTTAAAGCAATTTTATTTTTCAGTTATTATTCTAATTATGAATCGAAAGGGGGTAATTAGAGAAGTAGCTTAGTCAGACTTTACTCACAAATTGCACATCAATGACATCTAAGTAACAAATAAAGAGGAAAAGAACATTGCGATCTTTCAGGCAAACGGAGCCACGTTTTGCTTCACATAAACTTGATGTGGCTGTACTTTTTTTTATTGTGGATTGGAGCGACCCCAGGCGGTCCTGTGTGATCTCTTTGCCATACTTTAACCCACCAACAGGTGGCAGTGTGTAAAAAACATGCGATTCTTTCCGACACACCTCCGCTCTTGACTCAAGTCTTCTTCTTTTTGCCGCAGCGAACTTTCTTTCTCTTCCGGCTGTCGTCTGTTCGTGTGGCAGGTATTTATTTATCCCGGTGCTTTGAGCTTATTATAATCTTCATCCATCTGCTTTTGCTTCATTTACTATTGACCAAACATCTGCGGACATCGATGACGCTTTCAGTTAGTAGGGTAGTCTTCACAGTATGGATAGGATTCGATCCTTAAAAAGAGACAAATAAAACATCTGACTAATGCTAACATCTGTGTAGCTATTCAGCTTTTCTCGACAGCTACCGACACAATACCAACTAGTTTGTGATTTAGTTGACTATATTTTCCTCCTGCTTTCACTCTGTTTATGCAGTTTTTAGACTAAAACACGTTTATTGGTGGCTAACAAGCCGAACTAAATTAATGTTTAATAGCAACGGACGCCAGCATCGCTTTTCGTGGCTAAGGATGCGCTGGTTCTGTTTTAATCTTGTCCATTCTACAGATTTACCAGCGTCGAAATGGCAAAGTCTAAGAACCACACAACTCACAATCAGTGTAAGTGATTGCATCTGAATTATATTTATCTACCTATGTGCACAGAGGGGTGTTAAAACGAATGACTGTCCTGTTTCAACAGCTCGCAAATGGCACAGAAATGGCATCAAGAAGCCCAGATCTAATCGCTATGAGTCCTTGAAGGGGGTATGTATGTTCAGCAACTCTGCTCTGTGTTACAGTGATTCTTTGAGAAATGCAGCCTTCTTACACAAACTTTTAATAGCTAAAAAATTGCACTGTCAGTCTTTGTGCATTATCCATTTGGTTTGGAAGTTGCTTCCAAGGCCTCTGTTTTGGAAGAAGATCGACTTTTTAATGATACCATATTAGTGTCTCTTAATTGACATTTATTCATAGACAAACAATTCAATTGGCTACATATGTTCCGAATGTATTCAAGTTTTTGAACATTACAGTCAAGTTCAATTTTTTATTGTAATTGGTAGAAAACATTTCTAAGCAGGTCACGTTGAGTCACTGACTTGCAGCATTCACTCACTTCACTGAGCATGTAGTTATAGTTGAGAATCGCTTTCATTGAGTTGTTGACTTTGTAGCAATCCCTCATATTGAACATGCATAAAGTGACAGAGGAGAGGAAAACTCCTAACAAAAGAAACCTTAAGCAGAAACTGGTTCATTACAAGCAGCCATCAATCGTGACCGACTGGGGATTTGAGTATGCTATTTGTTTGGCATCATCTAGAAGAGAGAAACATAACAGAAAAACTCTGAGCTGGTTTAAACGGCTACAGGATGAAAAAGTTGCAGCGAAAATCTCAGCCAACAGCTTTGTCTGGGGGACAGAGAGAGACATGGTCAAGTCCATCGTCTAGAAGAAGAAATGGCTCAAATTTTATTAGTAAACCCAACAAAAACTGATGCTGCATTCCCTCTTGAAAAAGCATAATATACCATCGCTTTCATTAAAATGTTGAAAGATTAAAGAATGCTGTTTACAGGATTGTTTTTGATGAGTTTAATACTAATTCATCTGATGCCTTCAACTATTCAGTCATTTTTAACCGAGAACTACTATATAATAAAGTTGACTTCTTGATTATGACATTGTTTATTTTGTAAGGGCAGTTATATCACAATACATTTTCTAGTGTCATGCAGATCTACATGCTTTTAACTAGATATTTGCACAAATGTTGAATGAAAATGTTTTCTCATTCAGTTGACTATAAAATGGATTGCTTGCAGCTGCCAGTGGAGCTTTGAAAAGCTGTACATTAGGAAAATGTGCTGTGGCTTCAAACACTTACAGCTCTGTTTTCAAATGTCTAAGGATGTTAAAATGCAAAATATATTTTTAGATTAGTAAACTTTTTGCATGTTTGTTTAGTGCATTTCTGGTGAAGTTGGTGCAGAATTCTATATTTGTGCTCAGAATTTTTGCATAATATTTTTACCTGAATCTAACCTGCTTCACAGGATTTACTTTCATGAGCAAAATCTGTTTCCCCTGGATGTTTCAATGGTTTATGTTGGACTATTTAGTGCAGAAGGTCACTTATTCTGTTAACCTTCCTGTTTGCAGGTGGATCCCAAATTCCTGAGGAATATGCGTTTTGCCAAGAAGCATAACAAGAAGGGCTTGAAGGCAGCAAGGAAAGCAGCAGCAGCTCAGAAATAAGCTGTCTGCTTAACTTCCATGTCTGTCATTGTTCTACATACACCAACATAATAAAGTAATGCTTTATTAACAAAACAATTTTGTTTTATACTTTGTGTTGATTATACAGAAAAGGATTTATTTGCATTGTGGCTTTTTGCTTCTGCACCAAAGTTTGAAAAAGTTTGGAAGTTAAAATAAAATGATCTTTCACACAGCGCCGTTTTCTTAGAAGCGGTTAGTAAATAATAGTTATGCTTTGCAACGGAAAAGGAGACTGAGTGACTGAAACACCTCTTCGCACCCTGTAGTATTCTTCATGGAAAAGGCTTTCTACTGGGGTTCCATAAAAAAAAAACACCATCTGTTAAATTGCATCGTTCCTCAGTGACCTAAGAACACACATCTCAGCTGAATTGTTCTAATTGTACACATAAGATCATTTATGTGCTTTTTTTTTGTGAAAACGTAAACATATTCTGATGTAACTAATGCAAGTCAGAATTGAGGAATCTTGTGAAAAAAGTTGCTTAAATGATCTACATTCAGTTAATTTAGCAGTGATTTGTTTTACATATATTTACCATTTTACCTAATACATATTCCTGCTGCTTAAATATTGGTTCAAGGATACAAACGATTCAGGTGAAACCAAATTATCCCCCACAGTGACACACTTCAGTTCAATGTGGAGTACCCAATTTTGTCAGTCTCAGAAGAGATCCTCATCAGATGCTCAAACCACCTTCACTGTAACGCCCTTGGATGTGGAGGAGATACAGTTTCACTTAATGCTTCCCCCTCAATGATGGAGTTTGTCACACAATCTCTAAAGACATGACTGAGCAATGGAGAAAGCTCACTTGATCTTAACAGTTTTACAAACACTGGGATCCTTGTACAGGAGGCCTGGAGTTCTGTAAAGCATTGGGTAAACTTGAATTTGAAAAGCAAAGAAAAGATTAAATGACCCATCTTCACATAATCAGCAACGTTGTCACTTAAATTTCACCAGATTTCCGTGTTATTCTGATAATCCTATTATAAATATTTCTCAGTATGCTGTCAATGTCAGTTTTTACAACTTCACTTATCCCAGATAATCACTAAAATAATTAATTTGCTTTCTTAACTGAGGAACTTATTTTCCCCATCTCTTTAAGCTGTAGTGCATTTACGTTTGATGAATAACCCAACTTATGTTTTAACTTGTTAATTGCTGTCATTACTTCCCCCAACACACTATTCAAGTTCACGCCACCTGATTTTTTTTTATGTCACTCTGACTTTGGTGGTGCTACAAACATAAACGGACCTTTTTATTTTGAAGCAGTAAATGGGATCTCGTGTCGTCACTTCCGTCCATGCTCTGACTCCAGCTTGCATCATTTCTCGGCAGCCGGTTGCAGTGCATGTGAGTACCTACTTTTGAAGTAAAGCGAAGTTCCTAATCCCGCTGTATTTAATCATACTTTTAAGGTAAATCTGAGCTCTTAAGAGCAACATTTAACAAAGTTTACTTTCACTTTAACAACAAACTGAGCAACCGAGCGTCTACTTGCTAGGTTAGCCTGCTAGCTGACAACACGGATGTGTCATTCGTGCGAACCAACCAGTTTAGCCTGTTTGGAAAGTGGTTTTGAGATTTATTTATAGACATAAATCTTCTTCTACTTGTCAAGACTTTGAATTTAAGTTCTGTTTAAAAGCCTTTTAGCGTGATATTAACTGAGGGTATCAAGGGTGTGAATCAAAGTTTGTCTGGGAATTGGTGTAAAATGTGGCTCGAATTGCTCGGAAGCTGATGCAAGAATTACACTTTGCATAAAAGTTCTTCATAGGGTATCTAGCAATTCTATTGATGGAAATAAATAAAATTATAATAAAAAAACATAGCAGTTTTGCTTATGAAGAAGCAACGTAAGTAATTATTTCCAATCTTTTATCAAGTTCCAATTTAACACCTTTGTGAGCTTCACAAAGACTAATTACAATTATCTATATTTATATGCTGTTTTTATGCATTCCCAGTGAATTTCCATGATTTGATCATTCTTTTTCAGTCATCATTATAGATATTCAGTAAAGTACTGAACTTATCAAAACATTAAATTTTGTACAGAACTTCATTTGTCCCTATCAGCAAACTTCCTCATTCCTTTTTCCTTAACGCCACTTTGCTTTTTATTTGAGAAAGGTGGTGTCATTGTCATCTCCATGGTTTAAGCATGAGACGTCTGTTTTCATTGGCAACATAACAAGCCCATCGGACAATTAATGGACTGTTTTTCTGTTTGTGTGTGAACAGACACCATGGTGGAACCAGTTCCTGAATCCATCAATTTTCCCTCTGAGGAGGAGAAGATTTTGCAGTTGTGGGAAGAAAGGGACTGTTTCCAGGAATGTCTCAAACAATCCAAGAACCGACCCAGGTAGGACTCCTTATGACGGCACGGGTGATTTAATTCAGAATCATTTGAGTTATTTTGTCCAAAGATTCCAGATTTAGGACTGTATTTCAGTTTTCAAATATGTCTGAACATACATCACGCTTTCTACACAGGATTCTTATGCACAGCATCCTGTGCATAAGAAAGTGAGAAAGCAAGTTAAACATTTACCTAACATTAAAGAAATTGTTCTTTCAGTGACAAATGTAAAATTTTAATTTAACTTGGTTATGGTTGCAATTACTCAGTAACAATTTATTCCAGGTTTTAGGAAGACTACATGACTCAGATGATACAGATGAAACCATAGTAACTCATTGATAAAAACATAATTTTTTTTAAACCCATGGCTATAAAGTATATTCATTATAATAATTTGAAAAAACAAAATCAAAACATTGAAATCATGTTCAACTACAAAGTCTTATCAGCACTCTTCATATTACTTTTTCACATTTGTTTACATATATGTGTTCATGATGTGAACACGAACACATCACATCCAACAGTTTTAGTTTCACCAAAAGTGAAACTAAAACCTGTTGCTCGGGAGCTAATCCTCTATAAGACCTTTGTTTCCGCTCATTTGCATAGTTCTTTCACTACTTGTGTTGCTCTCTTTTGTCCTGAATGTAGTCCATTTAGTCCATTTTTCCTCCATTTGTGATTGCTGAAGTCTCAACCAGTGTGTCAGTTTTTCCAACATGTAGATTTCTTCTACTATTCCAGTCCATTGTTCCTGACAAGGAGGGTCTGCCCTTCCCCATTTTCTCGTGATAGCTTTCTTGCCAGCTATTAACATTATCTTTTACCCTTACTTTGGTATTATTAAAATTGCAAAGATATAGTACCATGCTACTCAGAGGGATGTCATATCCCAGAATATTCTTCACAGTTTCATGTACATTTTTCCAAAATTGAACAATTTTAGGACAATTCCAAAATATACGCGAATGATCAGCGTTCATCGATAAGATTTAAGTCATTGTATTTTATTGTACATTATTGTATCATTTCATATCATCAGCTAAATTCAAAATATATTTGATATTCTTAGTTACAATCAATAAATAATGTGAAGATGTACCATAAAGTGAAAATTTAAGTGGGTGGGTTTGAAATGAGGATGATTGTGGACTGAGGTATTTTTTATTTTCACAAATTTTCATAAAAAATATGTTTTTCCAACATTTTGAAATTTAGTAATGTTACGCTTTTTTGACACAAACTCTCCTGCTGTAGAAAAAATGAAGTAAACAATACATTTATATAAAGTGATTTATGAGTAATTTGTAGAATGGCTGTATACCTGAGTTTATCCCAGGTGTATCTGGGACTTCATTCCGATGTCTGGCATTATAATGCCGCAGCATTGAGGAGATGGATTTATTTAAATAAGACAGTTCTGTTAAACATATGCAACACTTAACCTGCAGAACATAATATGAAAGTGAACTAAGAGTCAATTTTAGCTGAATTTGGATTCAAATAGATAAAGTAGAAACCGAAAAGAACCGGATGAAACAACAACGAAGTGATAACCAATACCTTATTTCTGATGTGGATCAAAATGGTCCCAAACTACAAAACCTTTCGTTTGCCTTGAGGCTCCATAGTTGACGCTGTACCATAAAAGAACAAGGATTCTTTTGATAAATGCATCCCGTTGACAGATTTGCTTCCTTATGAACACAGTGTGATGCCTCGGTGTCATTTTGAAACAATTCCTGTATCGGTCACGTGACTTGCTGAAAACAATACATGCACCGACACAGGGTTTTGTCTATGGACTTGACACATGCTCCGACGCGTTGGTGTTGCCGGACCCATCACTATCCATGATATTACTAATATCTCACCAGGTACACCTTTTACGATGGCCCTCCCTTTGCCACGGGTCTGCCGCATTACGGTCACATTCTAGCTGGCACCATCAAGGACATAGTCACCCGCTTTGCCCACCAGAGTGGCTTCCACGTGGACCGGCGCTTTGGCTGGGACTGTCACGGTCTGCCTGTGGTGAGATTTTTCACTCCAATTTGTCAGAATATTAGAAAAGTAATGTTCTATCTGATTTAATTGATCTTATTCATCATTCGTCATTATAGGAGTATGAAATTGATAAAACTTTGGGGATCAAAGGACCTGAAGATGTGGCCAAGATGGGCATTGCTGAGTACAACAAGCAGTGTCGAAGTATTGTCATGAGATATGCTCATGAATGGGAGGTGTGTGGAATAAATATTTACATTTAGTCCAATTTGTAATCAATATGCGTATATCTGTTACATGGCAAATTATTATTTTTTTCCTTTTCAGAGCACAGTGAAAAGAATGGGCCGGTGGATCGACTTCAAGAATGACTACAAGACTCTGTACCCATGGTTCATGGAGTCAGTCTGGTATGGCTATCTCAAACTGTTGCATTTTTTTCTGTGGTGTAAATTTAATGAAAAGGACATAAAATCTTCAATTATAGTGTTTTTTATTGAATTTCTTATTTCATCTTCTTCAGTATTTTACCACTTAAAAATAGTGTATTTCACGACTTTATTAGCATATACAACTTGATTTGAACTTGATTTTAAAGGCAACATTGTTAGCATTCACATTATAATCCACTGATCTGTGCTGTAAAAAGCTAGAAAA